CCCTCTCCAAGGACTGGTCTGCAACATGTCCAAAGTATGTCAGACGAAGCCTCAGAATCCTTGCCTCCAAGGAGCAGTCCGGTTTAATCCTCTCCAAGATGAACCTGTTTGTTTTCTTAGCAGTCCATGGTACATTCAATACTCTTCTCCAGCACCACAGCTCAAAGGCATCAATTCTCCTTCTTTCCTCACTAGTCATTGTCCAGCTCTCTGACTCATAACAACTGATTGCAAAGACCATGGCCTGTATCAGGTGCACATTTGTCTCCAGAGTGACACCATTGCTTTTCAGTACTTTGGAGAGGTCCCTAATAGCAGACTTTCTCATCGCATCTTTTACTTTCCTGGCTGCTGATGCCAGGAATGTTGACTGTGGAGCCAAGCAGACTAAAGCTGTGAACAATCTCAATCTCTTCATCATCCATCCTGATGCTGCCAAATGGCCCAGTGGTGAGAATCTTTGTCTTCTTGACATTGAGCCTCAATCCATATTGGAAGCTAATTGAGGAGCTTGTTAGTATCCCCATTTTGCCTGAACATCAGGGAATAATCCCAGTCCATTCCTGATTGGATCTGTGGTTGGCATATGGAGGAGCATGAAGGGTACATTTCTGTACAAAACTACACTTTACAGGAAAACTGATCCTCCATTAGTCCTTCTCAGAATCACAGGGAAAGAGACAATTTCAGGACTTGGGAATGATTTCTTGAGTTTAAAATGCTTTTTAAATGAACTGTGTTTTACTATCTAAAAAACCCTCAAAACCTTATGCACGTTCAAAACATGTTTATGACGTTAAGTACCAAAATCTCCATCTAGAATCAAGGTTTGCACCTGGAAGAACATCGGTAATAATGCCTCTTCCTTCTAGTTGTTCAGTTTAAGTGCATGGCTACCTTGGAGTAATAAAAGAGGGACTAAGTTAAAGAAAGGTTTGAATTGCATAAAGATTTCTTTTCAGTGAAAAATTGACTCATTGCATCCTGGCATCATAGGTGTCCTGCTATCATGAATAAAAAGAGGGTCTGTCTTGGTGTACCTGAGCACCCACTGTTTCAGGAATTCTCTTAAACGGTCCTCTAGAATTTCTGTCCATGCATCAGTCTGACTTAGTAAATCTTTCCTAGAGGGGGCACAACCTTTAAATCGACTGTCAGTATTGAACTTTAAAATCAGTACACACCTGGGTAGTATTTTAGTGTGTTAAAAAAAAAAAAGCCATGACGTCTGATTTGTTCTGTTTATTTGGCCTTTTAAGTTGTTTTCTGTAATATCCACTGGGTTAGAAAGAACCTGCCAGATACTCAATGACCCGGAAAATAGATTGACAACACTGGGTTCACTAACCACATTAGGTTACAGTATGACTAAGTAGTTTGATGGCTAGAAATACTGGAGTCTGTGCTAGTAGCGTTCAGTGTAATGTTTGCTGTTTGCTGCCTTCAAGTCAGTGCCCACTCATAACAGTCACAACACACATCAGAACAGAAACTCCTCCTGGTCCTGCACCTCTAGCCCCATGATCGGCTGTAGATTGAACATTATGCTCTGTAGAATTGACTGGCTGATTTTCCGAGAGCCCAGCCTTTCTTCTTCCTTTGTCTTAGTCGGGAAGCCTCCCTGACACCTGTTTAGCAACCCAGCATCCCAGGAGCCCCCTCTGGGGCTGTTCAGGAGGTGCATTGGACAGGAATCAAACCCGGGTCTCCTGCCTGGAAGGGGAGAAGTCTACCGCTGAGCCCTCAGTGCCCTCCCACCCCTGGTGTAATTAAAACCTCTTTAAAATGGAATCCCTACTGTAATCAGCAGCAGATTGCCAGGACAGAGAGGCTGCTTCAGGATGCAATTATGGAAGGGCTGAGCCAGGTGAGCGCCAGGTCAGAAATTATCACTAGATGGGGGTGAGTCCCTGAAAAGGGGCAATTACCATCTTGTGTCACACGACTCATCCTTTTTGCAACAGGACTATATAAAAGGAAAGGAAAGGGGTGTTTTCATGACCTCCGATGTCATGTGCATACAACTAAACGTACATTTTATGGGCTCATGTATATTCATGTCTGCAAAGAAAACTCGTAATGTCAGCTTTGGCTGACTTCAAACTGGCTACTTTTGTAAAGACCTTTTGCAGCGCTCATAAATTCTGTGCCCAAGGTGTTATTCCATTTCTTCTGCCTTATAATCTACCTCTTCCATGAAGGAAAAAGGGAGTCACTAGTGTAGATATTTGGACTTCCTTTCAGACTAGAAACAAGTTCGGATTTTGGTATTCCTTCCTCAAGTGATCATTTTGAATGCGGATACAAGCCGTTGGATGATGATATCTTTGCTGTTATTATAAGGGCCGCCCTACTTCCTCCCCAGTTTCGTCCTGGTCCTTCACATTCTGTGGTAGAACAGAAATGGATCACTGCAGTATCAATACCGGCTCCAGTTAGGTCTCTCCCTTTTAGCCCCAAGGTGTAAATTTGCCAACTGGAAAGGCTGCTCTGACCCTTCATCTCGATATATGTCCCAGGGCTGTGCGGGCCCCAGTAGATCATTTCCCTGGAGATTTGTTCTGTAGGACGAGGGCCATTTGTTGAGCTGTCTGATGTGGAAGGAGAGGAAGCGAAAGGCCCGGCCAGAGAGAAGCAGGATCATCCAGCGCCTTTCCGAGCAACAGGGAAATCAAAGGCTGCTGTCTAGTCCCTCTCAGAGCATGTTCCTAGAACTGGGGCTCAAGGCTGTTTTCTTTTCAGTGTTCTTAAAGATGTCAGTGAGAAGGAAAAAAAAACCAAATCACGGGGTTATGACACACCTAGTGATCCCACAGGCTATGCTCTGAAAGAACCCCCAGGTCCTCAAAGAACTTGTGAGCTTCAGGTGCCGACAGGAGGGTCCTGAGCCCGGGTTTAGTGCTACACATGCCCAATGAGATCGCTAAGTTTATCATGAAGCCCCCGAGGCTTCCAGGGCCTTCACAGACCTGCAAAAATGTTTGCAATTTTTTTAAAAAAAAGTTTGAAATCAAAGGGGAAACTGTGCAATGGCATTGACTCCAAAGAGGAACTGTGATGACGCTCTGGTTAAATGCTCAGTTAATAAATGAAAAGTCAGCAGTTCCAATCCACTGTCTGCTCCACAGCACACAGGGCCAGGTGATTGTAAGTGTGTGTGTGTGTGTGTGTGTGTGTGTGTGTGTGTGTGCGCGCGCATGAGTGTGTCTCCCCTCCACCTGTCTTCCCCCTCCTCCTTTCTCCCCTTCCCCCTTTCGCTCCCCTCCACTGTCTTCCCACTCCCTCTCTCCCTCCTCCCACCACTCCTCTCTTCCCCTTCTCACCCTCCCTTTCACTCTCTCCCTCCACCTCTCCCTCTCTCCCTCCTTCTCCCCCACCATTGCTGTCAACTCAAAATCAACTTAGAGCTGGCTCTCTAACAAGTTTTAAGAGACTATAAATCACATGGGAGGAGATTTCTCATCTTCCTTTCATTAAGTATCTGGTAGATTCGAACTGCCAGCCTTTGGATTGGCATTGGAACTCTTTACCCACTAGGTCACCAGACCTCCTTCCTTCTGTGAGGATGACTACCTTGGAAGCCCTATGGAGTGATTATACTCTGTTCTATAGGATCTCTGGGAGTCAGAATTAATTCAGTGACACACAACACTGACTTCAAATTTGGGGGTAAAAGATCCAATTCAAGCTCATAGTCACTCCATGTGTGTCAGTACAGGATTCTATTCCAGACGATCTTCAATGGCTGATGTTTCAGAAGCCTTTCTTCTGGGATGTCTCAAGGTGACTTGAACCTCCAGCCCTTTCCATTAGCTGCTAAGCACATTCGCAGTTTGCATCACTCAGGAGCTCCAGAAAGGTTTCCATGAAAATCTAAATCTTGCAAATTAAAAGCTTAAAAATGAATATCTAAGTTATTCAATGTTTAATTGAATCGTTGCAAAATATTGAATATCCACTTCATTAAGTGTTAAATGTCATATTGTTTAAAATTTCTTCCCGTGTGAAAACAAAATGTGGATTCAGTTTCTCACTTTCCAAGATTTCCGAGACCACATGGCCGTTGCTGAGAAACCAGCTACACCCTATCATAAGGGAACTGCACACAGCCAAGTAGCTTCAAATAAAAGATGATTAGAAGCCTTTCCATCTTGCTGCTTCAAACAGTTCTATCTGATGTGGGCTGTGGTGGAATGTTTATATGTTTTGTAGGATGACTGCAATAAACCTGAGAAAAAGAGAATCTAGAGCTGAGGTAGAAGTTTTAAGCAGCCCTGCTTCCTCTCTGCTCCTCTGCATGTATGTCATTATTCCTGGAGCTTCAAGTCTGCTTAGATTCTCATGGGGATGGCCAGATAGGAAGCAGGGTCCTGGGGGATTCTTGCTGTATGCACCTGTAGTTGAAGGCAGTGGTGTGAGCACCAAAAAAAAGTACATATGGAGAGTAATCTTAACCGTAGCACATATTCATGGTTGGATGCTCACGTAGTAGTGTCTGGTTCCTGTGAAGACACAGATTTCCTTCTGAACCGGGAAAGCAGAGACACCCCGTGGGGTTGTACTGGCAGAATCCCAGTGTTCCCTTATCTGATACAGCATCATTTCCCAACAGATGATGAACCTTCATGTGCCTTTGTGTTCCAGTGTTTTGAATGGTTTGTTCCCCACCTAACAATATCTTATAGGTATTTTTCCATACCAGTAGGTGTGGGATTACCACACTCTTTTTAATGACCACCTGATATCCATATATGGGTAATTGCCTTCTATTGCTAGAGTTGGGCATTCTCTTCTCAAAAGAATGTCATGTACCCTAATAAATCCTTATATATTGGCTAGAAATATATGCTTTTTGTCCACCATAGTTGCTAGCCTGTTAAGGAACTGAAAGAACCAAGTCTTGCCCTATACTGATGCTTGTTGTTAAATGTAAACCCTATATGTGATTCACCATTTATTTACTTCTTTGTCTTTTGTTTTTGCCTTTTCTTCCTGCGCAGCCATCTACAACCAGGGACAAGGATGAGCAGGCTCTACCGGTAGGAAACAGTGACCCTGTCTGTGTGCCTGTGGCGGGGGGGGGGGGGGGAGTGAGGAGGGGCAGGAGAGGGGCCATGCCTTCAACCAGTCATCCTCTCCCTTGGAATATTTCACCGGCTAGAGTGGATGCCTTCTCCAGCTGACCATCAGTAATGAAATCATTGGATTCTGATGTTGACAAATTATTTCTGGGGCTTGGTTTTCAAAAGTTTGAATCCTCCCTTGTATTTGATATGAACTTTTGTAGGAATTCCAAGAGGGAGATCTTTGCAAATTGCCATGCAAACGCTGCTGTGCTAATGTTTGGGGCCATTGTGCTACCCAACGCATGAGGTCTATTTTCTCCTTCATCTGCATGTACATACTTGTTGGTTAGAAATTTCTTTTGGCCCCTTCAAAAGAAATACTGCATGAGACCTATATTCAAGATAATACACAAGGCCCAAAAGAATGTTTTAAGTTTAGCCTATTCTAATAAAGATCGTCACAGTAGACGTCTTCCAATTTCCCAGAATAGAGACCCTTATAACAGTGATCATGATAAATCATTAACAGGAAGCACATTGTTTGTTTCCTATCCAATTAACACATCCTGTTTTATGTTGTGCAATGTAGCAAGGAAGTAGGTTGCCTAATTCTTGTGTTTAATCATCAAATTGCAATTATGTTCAAATTACACAGATCTCCTAACCTTACCTTTAAAATCCTTTGATTCCTAACCATCTAAATCTCCTACACTAAAATAAGACAATGCATTGAACAGTAAGAAAAGTTAAAGTTCAAAGGACTAGTGGTGAAGAAGCACATAGGACAGTGTCCTTTCTCCTGAAATGCTAAGAGCAATATGCCATGACAGTGTCTGAAAACCCATATAATTATCCAGATTCACTATCAGGCAAGAGATATTGATCCAGTCCCTTCCTTTAAGGAAGATTTACCACAAAACACTGTTGATCTCTCTCTGAGTCTTCCCCTATGCTTTTTTTAATTAGCATTATGGTTTCTAGCAAAATAGCAGTCATAAAAAGATCACACTAAGTCAGATTGCTATGTGTGTCTCATACTGAGAAGGTACTCAAAATTCAAGCTCACTATAAGTTTCATATTTGTCTCCAAACATGGGGACTATGATAGTTATTAAGTGTTGTTGTTGTTGTGTACCGTTGACTCAGAACCAACTCATAGCTAACCCCCAGCAGGTTTTCAGAGGCAGTAAATTTCATGGGAGGAGATTGCCCATCTTTTTCTCAAGGAGCATCTGGTGGATTCAAACTGTACAACTTGAGTTAGCAACGCAGCTCCTAACCCTGTCGCCCACCAGAGCTCCTGGCACTCTCTACAAAAGGTGGTGAAGCTTTGTCTCTCATACTTTGGACCTATAGCTCAGTGAGGCTATTCCTTGGGAAAGGACATCATATTGGAAAGATGGAGAGTCAACGAAGGAGAAGACTACCAACAAGAGCGACACTGCAGTCAATGTCAAATGAGTGCACCATTGGGCTCAAGTGTGTCAGAAAAGATGATGGCACAGGATAGGGCAAGATTCAGGTCTGTTGTTCATAGGGTCACCATGAGTCATACTCAACTCGACAGCACCTAATAACAACACTTGTTGTTGTTAAGTGCCATCGAGCCATAGACAACTCTTAGCAACCCTATGAACAAAAGACCTGAATACTTGTATAACCTTCATCATTTCTCCAAGTTCATAGGGGTTCTGGAGGCAGGCTATTTCAGAAGTGGATGCCACTCCTGCTTCCAAGCTTGTTTTGTGGGGAGCCCCACCAAACACTGTCCACCATGGGTGACCATTATAGCATTTGACACATCATTGTCACAGTGTTCAGCATCACAGCAACCATGAGTTACCTCTGTACAGCAAATGGACAGACCAGGGATATACCACTTGGAAGAATGTTTGACAAAAAATTATTAAAACCAGGCCTGAGGGCCTCAGATTAAAATCACCCACCTTTGGCTTAGTAGCATAACTCTCTATCCACCAGGCCCACAGAGCTCTCTCTATGTTTTTGGTGGTGGTGTTAAGTGCCATCGAGTCATAGACAACTCATAGCAACCCTATCAATGAAAGACCTGAAGATTTGTATAACTTTCATCGTTTCTCCAAGTTCATAGAGTTTCCAGAGGCATAAGCAATAGTTTAGAAACAGTGCCCAACGTAAGCATGTTAACCAGATTCCCTTACTCTTAGACTTAGTGATCTGGTCCGAAGCTCCAAAGTGGGTCTGTCTAGGATGGAGCACCTCCCAAATGTATTTGACTGTGGAATGTTTGGGGAGACTTTCCTTGGGAAGCTCACTTATGGGACTAGAGAGAGTATATTGGGGGGGGGGGAATCCATTAATGTAGAGAGCTGATAGACTTAGAAGGAAAGAGTCTTTTCTTTTTACTCCAGAAAAATTTCATGTCCTGATTTTGGGTCAAAAAGTTCAATAAGAAATCAATTCCCTTCCATTTTATTACCTCCTTCCCTCTTATCAGCACATCTATAAAGCTCGGCTCCCTCTGAAGTATCTATCCCAGTGATGAACAGAGAAAATAGCACAACAACCAGGAAGAGAAGTTCCTAATAAAAGGCCATCAAAACCCAGAGAGGTTTTCCTTTTGTTTTGTTTTCACTTTTTTCATGGTGGTTGTGGTTTTTTTTAAGACTGTTTGCTTTTGAAAATAAGTAAGAATGTGTTGATAACCACACCTCTAGAAGTTCATTCTTCTTCTATCACCTATTGATACCAAAAAGATAATATTGTGGCATCTAAGCCCCAGATGTTCCCATAGGAAGTCAGCCAGGTTATCCTTCACTGTGGATTTATGATAGAAGATTTTGCCTCTTCAGATTCTACTGAGAGACCACAGAGTTTCCAACAAGAGGATAGAGATGAGTCATCCCAGAGACGTAAAAAAAAAATGCCCCTCTAGAGAGTAAGAAGAGGATATTAGTGTTGCTAAAATTTACTTTCATTTATGTTTACTTTTTGCTTTTATCATTCTTCTTAATTTCTATGTTTGCCAATGTTTTATGATATATGCACTCACATTAATATATAGACATTTCTTTATATACCTATAGATTTTCTTATATACTCACACTCAGAACATTTTTCTATTAAGGTTGTAGAATTCACAAATTTCAAGGTCCACCACTGGTTTGGCTAACAGTCTTTGAGTGAAGTAATCCTGAAATCCATTCCCTATCCTCTGTTTGCCTGTGTGACTTGAACCTATAATTTCCCCTCTCTGAAATTCTTCATCTTCCTAAAGAGAATAATAATGAGATTGACTTGCTAGGACTCATTTCGAGGATGAGATAAATGAATGAATGTGAACCATACTGCATGTTGCTTGGCATTTACTAAGCACTGTTGATAACAGTGAGTCCATTTAGTAAGAGTGGGTGAGAAGATGCTGTTGCTACCCGAGGTCTGAAGGGAACTTTGAGGAGCTTTGGTTTGCTAGCATGTGATCACACGGCAAATGAGTAGCCACAGAGAACATCAGAGTTGTTGCTAGAACGAGAACTTCCCTCCTCTCTGAGAACTAACAGCCTCTCTGTCTGGTTTCTCCGCTCAGACTAAGCCACGTCTCCAGCGAGGGGGAAGCTCTGCCTCTCTCCACAACAGTCTCATGCGGAACAGCATCTTCCAACTCATGATACACACTCTGGACCCACTCGCTGAAGGTAAAAGTGAGGCTTGGGTGTGGGAGCTTGTTGGAAAGAAAGAGAATGTGAAAAAGGCTTCCCTTCACATCATACATAGGTATGCTTCTGTAGTTCAAGGTCAGAGGAAGCCCTGGGCCCTAGCATGCTTTGCTTGCAATGACTTAGTGCACCATCAGTGATTTGGGGGAGCATAAACGGGATCTGAGGTCTGTGTGTACATTGTGTCTTTTGAGACCTCCAGTGCGGAGCTGGTTATGAGGCAGAGAAGGCAAAAAGGGCTTCCCTGCCAACTAGAGGAACAGTTCTTTCATTGGCCTTCCTGAGTTTCAAAATAGAGTTGTGCGTGATGCTGAATTGTATATTTTAAAAAGAGTTAATTCCATGACTTAGAAGGGCTGGAAGTCATTTGGGAAAGAATGATAATTTCCAGATGTTGATATCCAGTTGACTCTTGGGCAGTTGGTGGATGGAAAGTGACTGTCTAAGCATCTAAAGAGCTCATTCTAAGACAACTGCTTAAGATTGATCACTGGAGACCCAGAAGGCCAGGTTCACCTTCAGATGAAAGTGATTCATCTAAACCATCACAGAGAATTCAGAATTGTGTTTTTCCAGTTTTATTCATTCACAGCAAAGCCAAATCCATCATGTTGCTTAAATTGTGTAATTATCTTTAAAAATTAATCTTTCAAATTGCTCTCAGATATGTCAGGTATTACCACTCGCAAGAGGCTCCAATGTAACCAACTCATCCTTGGACTTTACAATCATACCTGATGTTCCGCGGAGTGGTAGGGCTCATTGAAGAGCTTCACTGATCTTGGGTTCTATTTAGAAGAGGTAATTCTTAGTCATGGACATACTAAATATCCTTACCTGATTTATCTGAAAAGGAGCACACTTTAAAGCACTGGACTGTTAACCGTGCAGTCAGTGATTTGAACCCACCAGCTGATCAATGGCAGAAATATGCAACCATGTGCCTCTGGGCGGATTAGTCCTGGAAACCCCGGGGCAATTCTCTGTCCTGTAGGGGCGCTCTCAGTCAGAATTGACTCTGCAGCAATGAGCTTGGGTGAACTTATGTGGAGTTCCGTTGGACGAGATGAGACCTGATCACCTACCTTCTTCTTTGTTTAACCCCTGGTCACAACCCCAGAAAAGGAGTGAAGATGAGAGAGGTTAGCAGTTCTGACACTTTGCTCTCGATTACGGAGAAGCTGTGTGACTTTGGACAAGATGAGGTCTCACTAGTATTTGGTGTCTTCATCCGTAGGAACAGTTTTTCCTATGTTCAGCACTTTACAGTCTGTAAAAGCATTTTCCTACCTATCACCATACAAGTCATGTTATCACTTCACAGCTTCCACTACCCTTTGTTTCAGAGAGCATTCTGCAAAATTACATCTCCAGAGTATCTGTCTCGGCAGCCAGCGCTTTATTCCAGGCCGTCACCATTGCTTGTCTGGATTTGGGCAGTAGGATCTCAGCTGGTCCTCTTTCCTGGCCCTTTCTATCCATACTTTCCACATGCCCAAGTCATCCTCTCAAAGGGTAGACCACATTATGTCACCCCTACTCGGGACTTTCTTTGGCATCCTGTTGCTTTTAAGACAAGTGTGAATAGCTTTCTGAAGTTACATCATCTGACTCCAGCCTCTTGCTCCAGTCCCAGATGATTGAATCATACAGATCTTTCTGTCCTTCAAGGTCTTTCTGTCCTTCTGATACTTCTGCCCTGCCTCAAACGCATAGCATAAACCGTCCCCTCCACATGGGAGGGAACCATTCCCCCCTGCTTCACTTCGGCCCCCTTCCTGCCTTCTTTTCTCATACCCATTCTTCAGCATTTTGCCTAAGTGACATTTCTTGACCACCCAGTGTAAATCAAGGCCCCCAGTCACCTTCTCTAACTGTCCCTTTCAATGTTTCTTTATTACTCACTTTACAAATCATGTGATGAGGTGTCCACTGCCTGCATTCCTCAGGATCCTGTGAGCTTCTCAAGCCACAGGCCTTGGCTGTGTTCTCTATTTGTCCCAAGAGCACAGTACTCGGCACATAGTAACTGCCAAGGCTTGGAAAGATTGAACAGCTTGGGAGAACTGATGTTATTGTCCTGAGAGCCACACATCATCCAGTCCCTCTAATGCACCACAAGTATAAAATTATGGGTGAATTACAACTTCATTATTTTGAGCCAACATTATCTCCACCTATTGCCCTGAAACACTATCAAAGAGAACAGAACCGTTTTATCAGCTCCAAATTGATTATGACCAGGTGACTAGGACTCTAATTTTTTTTTTTCGTACAAGACAGTGTTGTGGAGTAATTAGAGGACAGACTATATAACCAGGCTCCCTGGATCCAAATCCAAGCCCTGCAGAATAGCTCGCTGTGTGGCCTCAAGCAAGTTACTGAACGTCTCTGTTTTCTCGTGTGTAAATTGAAGCTAATATATGATGATGTGTGCTTCCTAGGGTCTCTGTGAGGATTAACAGAACAATTAAGAAGCATTTCAAATACTGTCTGTTACATAATAAGTACTATATATACGTTTGACAGATAGACACATATACACATATATGTTTGATGTGATTCTTTCTGGATTTTGAAAAGTAAAACAGCATGTGATTTTTTTATCAAAAATATCCACAAGTGTGTGACGGAAAAACACCATCCTCTTCAATGAGCACCCCAATTCTTTCTCAACACTCTGTTCTCCCCGAGGAAACTGTGATTACTACTTTCTCCGGGATCCTCTCAGCGTAGACAACTGTGTGATGTGTATTTGTGTGTATATACTTTCACTCACAGCCAGCTCACGCACCTACATGTTTCTGGTCTTTGTTTGGTAGGGGACTCAACCTTCTGGTGGATCTTGTTTGTGATTTTTCAGGAAGGTTTGCGCTATCGTACTGTTGCTGTGAGATAAGCACCAGCAGACCTGAGGGGTGTGTGGCTTGGAGAGGGGCCGGCGGTGATTTTCCGAAACACCTGGCCCTTATGGCACTGAGCTGCAATTAAACTGTTTGTTCCTGCTCTGGCAAGATGTGCCATCTGAATCAGGGCGCCCGTGTTCAAGGTTAAGCCTCTGCCTGAAAGTCATGGAGGGCTCCAGTGGTGTGAATGTGCGAGAACGCTGAGAGCCGTAATCAGTTCTGGACTCGAGTGATTAGAAAATATGTAAAGCACTTCAGAGCTGTAAAATTGTTCCACAGCGACAGCCAAGATTGCTCTGGTATTTTTCCCCCAAAATTTGCAGTCCTTTTTCATCTCAAGCACAGCCAACAAAATTAACCCACTGCTCTCAGAAATCATCCTCTCTCCTCTCATTTGCATTTGATCACCTGAATTCACGTCTCCTCAGGCCAAACTGCCACCTTTTAACCAGGGAGAGTGCTGGCGGTGTCACACATGGGTTCTAGGTACTGTGGGACTTCTCCTGTTGCACTGAGGGACAACTTCTCAATCTTCTGGGTCTTCACCAAGTGGTCTCTTCACCCCATGTACCAGGCTGCCAGTCTTCAGAAAGAAAAGCATTCAACTTCATCTGAAAACACCCACTAGAATTGATAATCTCTCTGTGTGTGTGTGTGTGTGTGTGTGTGTGTGTGCGCGCGCGCGCGCGCCTTTCTGTCTCTGTCTCTGTCTCTCTGTGTTTGTCTCTGTCTGTCTCTATCTCTCTGTCTCTGCCTCTCTGTCTCTGTCTCTATCTCTGTCTCTGTCTCTCTCACTGTCTCTATCTCTCTGTCTCTATCTGTATTTCTCTGTCTCTCTGTTTCTCTCTCTCTATCTCGGTCTCTCTCTCTCTGTCTCTATCTCTGTCTCTGTCTCTATATCTCTGTCTCTCTGTATCTCTGTCTCTGTCTCTCTTTGTCTTTGTCTCTCTATCTCTGTCTCTCTGTCTCTGTCGATCTCTCTATCTCTGTCTTTCTCTCTCTCTCTCTCTCTCTCTCTCTGTCTCTTTCTCATTCTCTCCTGCAAACCTCAACATCTCAAATCCATAGCCCACTCTTGCAGTCACTGTGTCAGTCCATCTGGTTGAAGGCTTCCTCTCTTTCACTGACCTTTCCAAGCATGTTCTCTTTTTCAGGCATAGGTGCCTCCTGACCACCCACCCAAAGCACGTGAGACAAAGTTTCACCATCCTTGCCTCTAAGGAGCATTGTGTTTGTACTTCTTCCAACACAGGTTTGCTCACTTTGATGAGTCCATGGTGTAGCCAATACTATTTGCCAACACTACCATTCAAACCCACAGCTGCATCTGCCATAGTCACTGTCCAACTTTCACATGGATGTGAAATGAATGAAAATACCATGGCTTGGGTCAGGCACACATTAGCTTTTAATCTAACATCTTTGCTCCTTAGAACTTGACAGCGGTCCTTCACTGTATATTTGCCCAATAAAATACTTTGTTATTATTATTCATTCTTGACTGCTGTTACCACAGATGTTGATTGTGGATCCAAATAAAATGGGCTCATTGACGTCAGTCTTTTCGCCTTCTATCATGATGTTGCCTGTTAGTAGCATGAGGACCTTTCTTTTCTTGATGTTGAAGTGAAATCCATATTGCTGACTCTGGTCTTTGATCTTCCCCACTTAGGGTTTCGAGTCTTACTCACTCTGCAAGCAAACTTGTTGTCTGCATCACACGGACTGTGGAGATTTCCTCCAATCCTGATGCAACCTATGGAAGGACCTTTGCCTTTGTCTCATCTATTCAGCTAAGGTGCTTTCATCTTTCAAAGGCTAGTGGTCTTGTATTCCCTAAGAGCGTTCATTAGTGGCTGGGAGAGTCTCTGAGCCTGAATCACAGGACTCAGCTGTGTGCTACCTGTGGGCATATCCCGGAGCGTCCCGAGACCACATAGTCTGCTGTTGCTTACGGTTTCATGGATCAGCAATTTGGATAGGGATCCATTGGTGCTTCTTTCTTTCTAAGTAGTAACAGTGGCATTTACTTGATAGTATGCATTGGTGACTGAGCAAGTTGGAAAGCTCAAA